TACTACATCCCCCTTTCTCAGCACCGGGACCCCATCTGACTTGAACCTGTCCAAGTCCTGTGCATGCTACCCTACCACAGTCTCTGTGAATTTATATTCCACCTTTTTTTGAGACAGGTTTTTCACTGGCCTGGAACTCCCCAAGTAGACTAGACTGATTAGTTAGCTCCAGAAATCTTCCTGGCTCTCACTCTCCAACTCTGGGATTGCAAGTGCATATACTACCACCATGTCCAACTAGGTTTTATTTATATGTTTGTTTTTTGAAACAGGGTTTCTGGCTATCCTAGAACTTACTTTGTAGACCACAGTGGCCTCAAACTCACAGAGATCTGCCTGTCTCTGCCTCCCAAGTGCTGGGTTAAGAGGTGTGTGTGCGCCACCACTATCAGGCTTGTCCAACTATTTTTAAATGTGAGTTCTGCAGAGTGAACTCAGGTCTTTGTGCTAGAGTAAGCAAGCACTTTACCAACTGAGGCATCTCCCCAGCCCTGCACCCACTCCTACCCCGCCCGTGCGCTTTTTATGGTGCTATGGATTAAGCCAGGGCTTGTGGGTCCTAGACAGTACGATACCACTGAGCGCCTTCTGCCTTCCAGCCAGGCAGCAGGAACACAGACAGGGTCTAGCCTCCTCCGCTAACAGTGGTGACCTCTTTCACCCGCTGTGCACCCGGAACTTCCCTTCTCTTATCTCTGGGCTGGCTGACCAGCAGGCTCCCTTTGCAGGCTCCCTCGGGTGCTGACATTCCTCAGGCCTAGGCATGCTTTCTCTGTAATCTTGGGATCTGTCAGCCACGGCGGCCACAGATTCTAATTGCTTTGACTCGGGTTCACTCAACTGTCACAGGGTCTGGCAGCCCTAGCTCAGGGCTAGAGCCCCAGATGTTGGGCACCCTTGGGAAGCCACCCTGAACCCCCCATACAATCAGAAACAAACATGACCGCAGTCTGTCACTGCAGGTGCCAAGGGTACCCACTACCCCCCACCCACCCTATGAAAGGGCTGGCTGTCTCCCTACAGCAGTTGGCAGAAATTACAAGTAAATGGTGCAGAACAAGCCACTCAGACATAGCTGAGCAGGTGTCCTGACCCCTCAGTCCCGCAAGGCAGGTATCTGATGAGCACACATGCTTCCGAGGTGTCCTTCTTGCCACAAGGACACACCCCTCTTATGCTGATGGAGGTTCACCAGTGGCTCCTAGAAGCCACAAGCTGCTGTGGAGTTCCTTCACCCTGAGGCTACTAATTCGTCTGTGGCTGAACCAGACCCACAGATTTAAGAATCAAGTCAAGAGACTGGCTCCAGAGGCTATATGTACCACAGAAACGTGGTGGCTCTGAGTGCCAGAGACAGAAGCATTCAGCTCACCCACCCAACGCCTCAACTGAGCCTTACAGAGAGAAGGATAGTGCCCACTGTGGGGTGAGGGCCACGGCTCTAGGTAAAGACAGTGTGCCCAAAGTAGGCATCAGGGAGAGACCAGGTCTGGGAGCTACATGGATGAAAGGGTGCCAGGCATAGCCCTGGCTTTAAGGAGCTTGGTCTTGGTAATGACATGAAAAGTTTAATCACACCAAGTGGGCAGGGGATGCTGATAGGTACCAGGGTGACATTGGTTATGAGAGATTCTTCCAATATTCTATAGCACATCAAGATAACTGTAATCCACAATTAAACATTCTAAAATAGTGGAGAGGGTTTAGAATGTCCCCAACACACAGAAATTATACATGCCTAAGGAAATAAATATGCCAGTGACCCTCATGTAGTCACCACACACTGTATACACATCTTGAAATGTTCTACCCCACCCCACAAACATGCATGAGTACTGTGCGCCGATCTACAACTAGATGGAAGGAACCGGGGAGCTGGCTTAGTGGGAACAGCACTCGCCTTGCAAGCATGAAGACCTCAGTTCAGATCCCCAGCACCACGTAAACTGGATACAATGACGTGTGTCTGTGACCCCAGCACTCCTACGGCAAGGTGGACCACAGGAAACTCCCCAGAAGCGGGAGGGCTCACTTGCTCAGTGTGGAGTGTGGAAAGCAAGAGCCCCTGCCTGTCCCAACAAGGTGTGAGGGAAGGAGCAACAACTGAGGGGATTCACAACTGAGGGGGTTCACAACTGAGGGGGTTCACAACTGAGGGGGTTCACAACTGAGGTGGTTCTCTGACCTCCACCTGTGTGCGCACCTGCACCTCCAAACACACACATCCATCATATGTACACAAAGGATTTAAAATGTATCTGTGTCTTTATGTTCAAGGGTGGGGATTAGGATTTGCTCAGTGAACATAAGGCCCTGGGTTCCATCCCAAGGGCTTCAAAAAATTAAATACAAAAAACAACCACCAAAAAAGGGGGGGCGGAGAAGAAGAACCAAAGCCCTATTCAGCCCAATCCAGTCCTGCCAAATGGAGGATGTCTTAAATGCTCGCAGCACATATGGAATGAAGTGTGCTTTCAGCCTCGAAGTTTACAAGGGCCTCTTCTGAGCAGGACAGACTGAGATAGACCTTGAAGGATAAAGCAGCTCAACCTTCCCTAACTAACCGTAGGGACTCAGACATTCACATTCCAGAGTGCTCTGGGTTGGTTGGTTGTTTTGGGAGGGAGTTACTTTATTTTTGTTTGCTTGTTATGAGACAGAGTCTCATCTAGCCCAGGCTGGCTCTGAATTCATCATCCTTACCTCCAGAGAGCTGGGAGTATAGGTGTGAACCACCACATGCAGCTGTGAACTCCATAACCACCTGTGATACACACCAACGTGTATACGATAGGATGTGGATAAGAGTCCAAGTTTGAGGCCGAGGAGAATAGTAAAGCTGAGGCTTGGATCACAGAAGCAATGATGGGCACAGATGCTCCTCCCTGACCCCCTATCCGAAGGCTATTCCTGATTCCTCTTCCACAGATACCTTGAAGCCCAGAGTCATTCTATCCCTGCCGCACCCCCTCCACTAACACCACCCCCATGTGCCAGCTCAGGAGATGAAAGGTGCTCTCAGCTTCTAGAAGGAATCGGACTGGGTTACTGCTTATATTCCATTATATCATCGGCTCCGAGAGGGCAGACCCCAGGCGTCCTCTCCAGCAATCCAGCACTCAGTACTGGCTCATAAATAGGAGGGTGCTCACACTGAAGTCATGATGAAGGGAAACCAAGGAGCCAGACGTCAAATTGCTAGGGCAGGAGAGGCAGGGTGGCACTTAGAAGCAGATCATCCAAAGTCCCCATTCTGTGCCACCTCCCCACTCAAAAGCACCAACTACCATGAGGCAAAAGTCACACATACTCCAACACATACTTAGACCTCACAAATGTACATCTACCATACATTCTACATGTACATATACCCAACACACATACACACTCCACATATTTACTCCCCCATATTCTATACACATACCTACCTAGTCACATACTCTCACCTCATATGTACCAGACCCCCTTGACACATACATTCATAAATATACATTCCACATATACACCTACCCCCCCACACCACATATATCAGCCTCCCTCCACAAATATACCTACCCACATATACATACCACATATATACTCTCCATTCCACATCTACCAGATATTATACACTACATATATACACCTACCCACCTATACATACCACATATATATCAGCTCCCTCCACATATACACTCCACACACCACACACCCCATATACACCAGCTCCCCCAACATACACACCCACACATCCCTTTTTCATTGTATCTATTGCCAATCCTAGTGGACGTAGAGCTTCTGCCACTGGTGTGTAAAGATGCTAAAGAGAACAGGAACTAAGTCCAGCATGGAAAGTCCCAGCTTTGCAAAGAAGAAGGAGAATTTTAGCTCCAGCGTAGACTAGCATGCTGGGCTTTAACATGGAGCCGCCATCCCCCCCACCCCGCCCCCCATCTTGACAGTGCTCTGGCGAAAGGGAACATGGGGCACGTTTATTAGGGGTGGAGGGCAGGAGGCAGAAGCTAAACAGAGCTCTCTCCAGATACTTCTGCCATGAAGTTCTCAAAGTTCTCAAAGAGCCCTCGGCTGTCTAGTTTCTAATAAGAAAAATATGCACGGTGTCACAATGACTCACTCCCCACTCTTTATGGACACCAGACTAGGTTGGACAGTGGACACGTGCAAATCCATCTAGCCTAGCTTACTTAACAGGCAAGTCGCAGGTCTCAATGAGGGACCCTGTCTCAAAAACCAAGGTGGATGATCCTCCTGAAGAACACCACCAGAGACTGACTTGGGCCTCTGCATACATGGACACACATGAATACACACAGAGAAGGAACACAGTTTCTTTATTCGTCTCTGTGAATTTCACCTATTCTCTACAACTAGGAAGAAAGAAATTGGGGCATGTGTTTTTCCCTGGGTGAAACTTTGGGGAAAGTTCATCATGTTACTGGAGTGGTTCCCAAATAAATGGTTGGCAGAGAATCATTTAAAGTGCTCACTGCAAGTGGCAATTGTTCTAAGAGGGTTTTCTTCTGCGTGGAGCTGCTGGTCGTTTCTAAAGACTGCCTTTGTCTGGTACTCTGCACACTGACCAGCTGCTCTCAGGAGCTCCACTGCTTCTCAGCCCTCTGTCAGCAGCTGTCACACATTAGGGAGGGACTGGCTTCTCAGGAGTAAACGCCATAATTTCATCATCTCCCTGCCTCACTGTGTAGGTGGAGGACGGTACAAAAACTCTGATTTACTCTCCACACTCTGGCAGGACCGTGAGCTGAGTAAGTCTGAGACAAGGGCCCCGTTTCACTCACTGGTCTCAAAGTCATCAACACTTCATGAAGGGTGACCATTATGTGACAGAATATGGCCTGAGGATCATGGTTACTAACCTTAGCCTGCCATGTCTCCTAATTCTGTGGTGGCAGAGGGTGCTGGGAAGTCCACCTGACATCTAATGATTTGGAGAAAACACCAAGAGACCCACAAATATCAAGCAAGTACTCTCTCCTAGAAGGTAAATTTAGAGGTGTTTTATTTGATAAAAGCTTCATGCCAGTAATCCCAGCACTCAGGAGGCTGAGGCAGGAGGACTGCCAGGAGTTCAAGGCCAGTTATATAATGAGTTCCAGAAAGCAAAGTATAGAATGAGACCTTGTCTCAAAAAAAAAAAAAGTTCAGTCCAGCTGGCGAAAGAGGAGCAGGGACCATGTAAGAAAACACAAGGACTGTTTTTCAGCCAGTTTAGCAAGACAGAGCATAAGAAAGCCGTCGGCTTACACTTACACAAGTTCTAGGTCAACAGAAGGCAAAAGCCAAATCCGAGGCGCCAAGAAAAGAAAGCTGTTCTTTTTCCAGAAAGAGGCCTGGGTACGGTGTGCTCATGAGAGGCAGGCAGGGCTTCACTTGTCCTTCCTAGCATACCCAGGCTGCACCTAACCTCAGCCGCCCAAGCACCAGGAGGATTTCCTAACCACCCTTTCACACACCATCCCAGAGCTGCATGTGGGCGTCACCAGGAGACACTGCACCAGGCATTGGGATTAAATTATTTTACTGAGTAGAGGATGGGGGGGGCTTGCATTTTGAGCACCACTGCAAGATTACCATTTCTAAACAGTTAGTAGACCAAGTGATGCGGACAGTGTGCTCGGGGAGGGTCTGCAGACTGTCCACGACCTCACAGCTGTCAGGCTGAATGGACTGGGGTCCCACAGTGTTTATGCCACAAGTCGATGGCCTTGCTCACGATAGCATCTGAGCTGTCCTGAGGAATCTGTGAAAAACAAGGAAATCCAAGTGAAATGTCTGTGTTTGTTGCTCAGGATCATCTCTCCTTCTGTGACAGACCTGTTTCCATGGAGCTTTCTCTGGGTTTGGAAGGCGATGGCAGATTTGGAATGATTCAGTGCTCCTAGGGACATACTGAGTAGCTCTGGTGCCAGGTAATCTTTCCCTGTCCACTCACCACTTGGCCCTGGACGAGGACTCAGCTGCCTAAGGTCTAGCACTGATCTCTAAACAGGGGACCAACAGCCCAAATTCACAGAGCTGTTCTCAGGGTGACAGAAGATAGCTCTTGCTTGGCACATGCCTAGCACTGTTGGCCACTAATTAGTATAATGATGATGATTCATTTAATGAACACATACACATTCACTTATCTCTTATTTACCAGGCCACACTTCCCATGTTAAAGCTGGTTAATTAAAGGGGGTGGGGGGGATTCTGAGTCTGCTCCATAAAGTGCTCTCTGCAGGCTCAATCTCTTTACTATTTACCCAGGAGAGAATGTTCTAAGAGGGAGGAGGAGCTGGTTCACTAAGGCCTTTTTCAGCAAGCACTAATAATACTTAGGCGCATTACACATTAACCGACCCAGCTGGGAATTCACCAGCAGCAGGAAAAGGCCTAGGGAACCCCCAACAGAGCTCATTCACACTGCTTCCTGTTCCTGCTGTGCTCTCTGGGGAGGAGACTCTACCCCACCACACTCACACAGGGGAGTGTGAGTAAGAGGCCTGCTGTGCAGACCAACACTCCCTCCCCCCCCCCCCCCCCCCCCCAAAGAGAAGGGGGGGGGACAGCAATGCTGTTAAGGAAAAATAACTTTTTTTTTTTTTTTTGCCATAAGTGGCATGCTTGACTGTAATCCCAGCATCCAGGAAGCAGGACCAGGAAGATTATCAAGAACTGGAGGCAGCTTGGGGTATATAGAGAGTTCCAGGCAGTATGAGCTACAGCATAAATCACAATCTCAAATCAACAATAACAAAATGCTTTTGTAGAGTAAAAACTTGCTATTAATATAACACAATAGGAAAATCTGGCTTGCCAGGCTGCCTTCATTTCCAGATTCCAAATCCAAGGAGATAAAGCACTCACGTTTTCCAGGAACTTGGTTATCTTCTCCGCACTGTTCAATGCCATGACTTTTATTTTAAAGGTTAATAATATTTCTACTGCTACAAAAACTAGGATCTTACAGGATCCACTTACAACTTTATCCCAGACCCTACAAAACAGAGAGTTCACCAAATTACAGGAGTGCAAAATTGATGTTACCAGATATCTCAGATTATAAAATAAAATCAAATTCCACTCATTTTAAGTACATGTTTCAGAGAACAACTGTGAAACACTCAGTGTCAACAACATGATAGATTCTAGATAGGATAGCTTTATGTGGGAAAAGTGGAGTTCACTTAACGCTACTGCTGTGTTTGAGTGTTCCAAATGCCTGCTGCGAAGTTGATAGTGAAGGAAAAGAAAGGCCTAACCAGGGTGTGAATCCTGCTACGGTCATGTAATGCCAGCATGGTTAGTACACACCTCAGGACAACAAAATGTCAGGCGAAGTCATTTCATTGCCAGTGAGCCGGGAATAGGTTCTCTGAACTTATCCAAAGGCTCTTTATGAGTATGTATGCAACATGCCTGTGTTTAGGTACACATGCACATATGTGTAAACACTTGCCGAGACTGGGTTTGATGTAGGGTAGCTCCCTCTATTGTGTTCCACTGCTATGAAACAATCCTTTCCTACACTATGAATATGTATTATTCTCATTGGTTAATAAAAAGCTGACAGGCTGGTACTTGGGCAGAAGTTAGGAAGGAAAGCCAAACTGAGAATGCTAGGAAGAAGGAGGGCAGAGTCAGAAGGTACCAGCCAGTCACCCAGGAAGCAAGACATGCTAGAGGATAGGTAGAGCACAAGCCACGTAGCAATACATAAACTAATAGAAATGGGTTAATTTAAATGTAAGAGTTAGTTAGTAACAAGCCTAAGCTATCAGCTGAGCATTTATAAATTATATTCAGCCTCTGAGTCAGTTAATTGAGAACTGGAAGGGAGGACAGGAAAACTCCAATTACATATGGTGCCCCATGTTGGGTGCCAAAAGAAGCTTTAATTTAATTAGTCTTTATCAATAAAAATCGGGAATTAAACATTGGGGTAAGAACCTAAAAGATCAGAGAACTGGGAACAGCTACCAGTTGCTTCCTACCTCTTCTATTCCTCCATCCAGAAAGGCCATGATCCTCTCTCAGCCCTGCCTTACTATTTCCTGTATGCTATCTGTCCTCAGTCCTCCAAACCTCTATGGTCAGTAGCTAGCTCCACCCTCTGACTTCAGACAAGCTTTATTTGTCAGAACACAATCAGAATATCACACAACATTCCACTTTATTTTTTGAGATAGTCTCTCACTGAACTTCCTGCTCACAGTTGGCTAGACTGGCTGTCTAGTGAGCACCAAGGACCTGCCTGTCTCCACAGACACCTGCCAGTGCTAGGTTTACAGACACGCCATCACACCTGGCTTTGTACATGGGTGCTAGGGATCTAAACTCAAGTCTTCATGTTTATACAGCAAACAACTGTACCCACTGAGCCCTTCCCAAGACCCAGGAGCCAGTCCTTGATCTACTATTACTCTAAAATAATCATTTGATAATTCCTATAACTTTTGAAGTTGGTATTAGACTCTGTATGCTAAGTTACACATTTTCTTCTAATGCTCTCTATATACTGACTTCCTTTCTTCAAAACATCACAAGGACCTGGATTGTGGGGCTAGAACTAAGAAATACCCTTAACATGTATCAAAATGACTGGAGAAACACAGTTTGTCTCTGACAGCCTTCAGCTCTTTTGAGGATGTCATGAAATGTCTAAGAAATACGAAGGCGCCTGTCTGTCAGGAACCAACACCTGTCTAGAAAAGAAGCATGCAGGCCCACATTGTTTCAGATATCACTGTCCCACAGCAACCACACAGAGGCCCACAATCTTTGTAGACATGCATTCAACAACAAGGAGAACCACATCACAGTTACAGAAACTGCTAGGGAATGTAGCTTTGAATCGCCTTCTTGTTCTGAAACAAACTCCAATTTAAAGGGATGATCACAGAAGGGCCAGGAACTCTTTCTGACTCCAAACTGCCTGTATGCAATGGGAAAAACACGTACCTCTGTAAACTGGACTCAGGCAGGCATCCCGCGAAGCACCTTTTGAACCAGAGATCATAAGGAAGTTTGGACACCGCAGCACATGTCTTCAGGTGACTCAGCAGCCTACTATCTTCCAGATTCAAGTACTGTTCAAAGGCCTTGGGCTAAAGATTACATAGCAAAAATGATTACTCATTTCCTGTGATATAATATCACCTCACGCTGCAAACTTAGGCAGAAAAAATGTACATGCTGGGTAACAGAAAGTGCTAGAAGACAAAACTTGAGAGCCATCAAGTCAGTCCTGACACAACAGTTTTTGGTTAGTACTGAGAAGGGTGACCACACTGGACCTGAGGGCTTTCTCGGGATGCAGGACTCTTCCTATGCGCATCCCACAGGACAATAACTAGGCAGAATGACATGGCTGTCACCCTGGTACTGCACTAATCAGCTCAACAGCTAAAGCAGAATCTGAAGCAAGAGTCAAGTATTATGGAAAGGTGCGACAGGCCCGCGGCAATACTGGGTGATCTGGAGCAACCAATCATACAGAGATGAAAAGGGGAAAGAAAGATGGCTGAGGTGGAGCAAACATCTAACCTCAGCGTTCAAGACTCTGAGGTACAACAAGGGTGTCTGAGGCCAGCCTGGGCCACATAGGAGAGCCTGTCTCAAGAAGCCGAAAGTGTGGGCTAGAGAAGCTGCCCCTCTGCTGTCTAATCATGAGCACTAGAGCTCAGATGGCAGCACCCATGTAACAGGCTAGGCATCCCATGCATGGCTGTAACTCCAGCTCCCAAGAGAGGCAGAGACAGGAAGATCACAAGAGCATGCTGGCTTCCAGCCAAGAAAACACAAGCCCAGGTTCAGGGAGAAAAGCTACTTCAAAGGAATAGGTGGGAAAAGATAGAGGACACCCAACCCCCTTTAATAGTACAAACACACACACACACACACACACACACACACACACACACACACACTGACCATACTAGTCTGCATTGGCCTCCAGTACCAAGGAGGCTAAGACATTAGGGAGGGCCAGAGGAACAAACTCTGTACCCAACATAATATGGGTGAGAATGTTCTAGAAGAGAGAAGCAGCTCCACTTGGGAATAGCAGCTGGGTTGTCCAGCAGCCTCTCTCCCCTGAGATAACCCTAGAGACAGGGATGCAGTCAAGCTGGCCAGCTTCATCAGTATGGAACAAAGGCAGCTCCTCCTCTCTCCGATTTGCCCTTGTAGTCACTTAAGGAAAGGCACCTTCTTTCATTAGGGTAGCCACATTTTTTTAGGTTGGTAGCGGGGGCCTCTACCCAATGAGCTATCTACCTGTCCCTTTCTCTCCACATAAGATTGCCTGCATACATGTCTGTGGACCATGTGTGTGCCTGTTACCCACAAAAACTGTAAGACGGCATCGGAGTCCCTGGAACTGGAATTATAGGTGGTTGTGAGCTGCCATCTGGGTGCTGGGAATCAAATGTAGGTCTTTGTCAGAGCACCAAATGTTCTTACCCACGGGGCCATCTCTCCAACCCCGCCCCCAACTCTAAATTCTTAATGAAGAAAATAAAACTGGCTTCTAAGCTCCCTGGCAGTGAGAGACCTTGTCAGAGGGCTGGACTCTGGGAAGCCTGGAAGAAACTGTGACGTGGTCCCAGGGAGCAGAGCACTAGAGCAGGCCACTCGCTGTCTCAGGAGCACGCCATCTTCTTCCGTTCTTTATGCTGCAATTATCTACTCCAAATTTTTAAAAAGAGTTGCTTGTTTTATTTGTGTGTGACTGTTTGCCTGTACGTATGTCAAAAGGGCATCAGAGTCTCTGAAACTGGAGTTACAGACAGTTGTGAGCTGCCACGCGAATGCTGGGAACCAAATCCAGCTGTTCTGCCAGAACAAGTGCTCTTAACTGCTCAGCCAGCCCTCTACCGCTCCCCCACCCCCTTTACGGCTCGGCTGGAGACGGAAGTCTGGCATGCTGGGTAAGCATTTCACCGCTGGCTCCACCCCAGACCCGGGCACTGTGGCCTGCACTCTTCCCACAGCTATAAAGCAGCCTATACTTCGTGGGAACAGATCTGTTTAGGCAGATCACAAAAGTATAAAATGATGTCGGAACAAGGTGATAGAGACTTGGCTGTACCAAGAACCTACCGTCTGTGCTTTGTGGTGGAGGCTGAGGCAAGAAGATTGTAAGTTCAAAGCCAGCCTGGGCAACTTGGCAGGACTTTGTCTCAAAATAAAATGTGAAGAAGAGCTGAGGGTGTAGCAAAGCCCTGGGCTCCATTTCCAAGGCCTCTCCTTCTCTCACCCCACCTCAGCCCCCACCTCAGCCCCCACCTCAGCCCCCCATTGCTGCTCTCGACAAACAAAAACAAAGGGCTGAAATACAGCTTAGTGACAGAGCTCTTGCCTAGACGTGTGAAGCCCCAAGATTCTGTTTAAAAAAAAAAAAAAGGTGAACCGGTAAATAAATAAACAGTGTGAAATGTAACACTACTGATAATGAATGACACAAACAGGAGTTAGGGCAGTCACTGTGTAACCTTGGGCAATGGACTTCTCTGAGTTTCAGTGTCCTCGTCTGCAAACACGGACCTACGTGCTTAAATGAAGTAACTCATTCATAAAAGTGGTCCTGACACTCTAAGCAAGATGAAGAGGAGACCAGGGTGCTGGGAGAGCCCATGCTGCTATAGACAGGTACCGAGAAGTAAAGTCCACCACGTCTGACATCAGTCAAAGATCAAGGCAGACAAGTCACAGCTAAGCTTCAACTCTCGGAGCATTTTAAAAAGTCAGGAGAAAAAAATACAGGGGAGGAAGGTGTTCTGGTTTTTTTTCAGATAGGGTTTCATATAGCCCAGGCTGGTCTTGAACTCCTGATCCTCTGCCTTAACCTTCTGAGTGTCAGGATTATGGGTATATGTCACCACATCCATCTAAAGAAATATGTTTTATCAATTGTGGAGTTGGCAAGAAATATATAAAGAAAATATAAAGTATGGAAAAAGAAAACACTGAGAGACATCAATGTATGAAGTTTACAATCTTTAAACAGCAAACGGGAAGAAAGTACAGTCATCATATTAATACATAAAGGATAATATGCAGAGCATATTGATGACACAAAGAAAAAGTCAGGTGTGGTGGGGCATGCCAAGAGGGTCAGGAGTTCAAGGTCATCCTCAGGTGCATAGCAAGTTCAAGGCTAACCTGGGCTACATGGAACTCTACCTCAAAACATACACACATTCATTCTCTCTCTCTCTCTTTCTCTCTCTCTCTCTCTCTCTCTCTCTCTCTCTCTCTCTCTCTCTCTCTCTCTCTC